AAAAAAGTTTTTTTTTTTTTTTGTTTAATTCATAATTTCATATCTATTTATTTATTAATAAAAGTTATTGCAACAACTGATTCTACTCTTAATCACAACAAATGCAACAACTGATTCTACTCTCAATCACAACAAATGTAATGTGAGAAACAATAACATTATCATCCCCTCATCTGCTTGTACAAAGCCTTGATTCCATTAATATCATCAACATGTAATCCTTTCTTCTCCCTTGGATAAATTACCGGGTACATGATAGCCTTAAAGATGGTGCTATGACTAAGCCCAAGAATGTGGCCCAACTCATGAAGCCCAACGGACTTCACATCGTAAGCATCTCTTTTACGGGCCCAAGACCAATTCTGGTGCAAGTCGAAGTGGACCCTCCCGTCCGGTGGGGGGAAACTGTGGGCCAACCCTCCGCCGGGAAACGGATGCCCGTCCCCATGGTCCCCACTCATAAAGCTAAGTTTAATATCCGCTCGACTGAAATTTTTCACAGGATAAAATTTAAAATGAGTTGACGATTGCCACTCTTTCAGTGCACTCTCTAGCGGTGGTTTTGCCGCGTTTGGGACATTCCAATCGAACGCGTAGCTTAGGGTTTCCTTGCGCCACTTGGGATTACCTTGGTGAAACGAATAACGAGATATCGTGTGAAACTGGATATCGTTATTGGGCTTTGATAAATCGAGCGTGCCACATTGTGGCTTAAGTATTTTTGTGACTAGGTCGCTGTCTGATATTCCAGTGACACTGATACCGACACCGTAAACTTTTTGGTATTCGTTTGGGGAAGATTCTAATGAATCGTCGAAAATATTTTTGTGTTTTCCTTTTTTATCGTTAGGGTATGTAATGATTTCGTGTCGTTTTTGGTTTTGTGTCACTTTGTTTAAAGGCTTGAGTGATGGTGAATCGTTTTTTATGGATGCACATAAATGTGCATGGTGAAAGTGAAAATGAAAGCAAAGAAATAAAGAAATGCATAAGAGAACTTGAAATGTCATCTTGTTTAAAATGCTTGTTGATAGTGTTTGAAAATCACTCATTGAGCTTTTTTAGCGATTGTTAGAGGTCTAACATGAAGCTGTGTTTTAAATGGAAATATGAAGTTATAAGGAAATGTTTATTTAATCATTTTTTCCATGAAAGAACACACGAACAACAAAAGTAAATTACAGATGAATGTCGTAATCCATCTCGACTTGAAGAGATATTTAAGGATGTCAAAAAGGAAAAGCAGAGAACTAAAAGAAAATTACACATTTAAGATTCATAATAAAGCTTTACCCTTTCAATTCATGGTTAGTGATAGAAAAATTCAACAGTAACATATAAATTTCTAATCGATACTTTAAAGTCGAAAAACCCTCTGGTCATATATAGTTCAATTCCAAAAAGGTTTGGCCTCACAATTCAGTTATAACACCAACAAAAAAATAAATAAATAAAATGAAATAAACAAAACAAAAGAAAATTGATCCCCTACTGAATTGATATGAATATGATTTGCTAGTGTTTGATTGGGTACATTAGTGATGCTTTAATGTCCCACATCGAGTATGGAGCAATAACCAAGTAAAGGGGGCACATACAAATAACAAGGGAAGACCAATTTTCAGAACTTGCCTTAAACTAATGAGTAAGGAAAACAAAGCGGGCGGTGAGAACTGGCCGCAGCACCCACATTCATTCATTTGATTAGTGGTGCATTAATTTGTGGAGGGGAGATAGGCTGGCCCTGCGTTGACGCTGCTTACTTTGCAGAACTCGCTTGTGCGGGCCTCCCCACCCCCAAGCCCAGTTTTTAAGTGTTAGCAGTCTGATTAAAAATAAATAATGGGCCCTGGTATTGTCCCGTCTCGGTAGGATTGTAAAAGCCCAATCTATATTGTAAAAGCCCAATCTATTTAAGTTGTCTAAGCAAGCTATATATTAATTCAGAAGCTACATATTTTGTTATTAGGCGTAAATTTTTAATTTACTTTCAATCTAAAATTAATTAAATTTAAATTATTTATAAATATGTTGATTATTTCTAGTAATGTAATATTATTTTTTATTATAACTATTAAATTGTAAATATATTTAAAAATTAATAATTTTTATATTTTTTATCAGTTTTATATATATAATATATTAAATTAATCATCTATTGAGAGCTTCAATTTAACATACATATTATATTGTATGTATAAAAAAATTTATATTTATCATTATAATAATAATAATAATAATATTGTTTTTTAATATTAACTAGAAAAAGAAAATTATTCATCAATATTTATATTTCAAATATTTATATGATATAAGTTATAAAAATTATTATAATATAACACATGTAACTCTCACAAGTATCAAGTATCATTCAAAAATATAAAATAATATATATTTTTTTAAAAAAGTAAATAAAATTTGAAATAGTTTTTTTTCATTAATTTTAAAATTTAAGAATAATTGTTTAACGGGTGTTGTACTAGTATATTTGTAAAGAAGAAATTAGCAATGTAATTTGAGGAAATTATAATTTATATCGAGATTTTCATCCCTCCCGTTTCCATATGTTAATTGAATTAATTCTTAGCTTACAAACATGTTTGTCTGGGAACAGGTGATCAATTTTAATGTATATTTCAAACAGGACTCTAAAAATGTTGGTGTTCATGAGGAAATTATACTCTAGACAATAATATANAGATACGTTTGACTGAAACACTCATGTATAACAATAATCTAGTGATGTATATATATTATTTTCATTTTTCGGAAACTTGACATTCTTTTCTTTTATCTTCATTTTTTGTTTGTTTGGGTATTTAGAGACGGTATAAATGACTTATTTCATATCTAAATAAAGATAATTTGCTAGGTTCAAATTTTGATATAAGATTAGGAAGATTCGTACACAAAATTGATTTTTATCCGTTATATCAACACATGCACACACCTACCTGTATAGATATAAAAATCCCGATAACAACAAATAAATTGTTGATGAAACTCAAAAACGGCATTTTCATTTGATCCATTTTGTTCTCTCTCCTTATCATTCAGAAGAGAAAAATTAAAACTAAAAAAGTTATTTCCCCTCATAAATTTTTTCCCTAGTTAATTATCACCACTATAAATATCAAAATAGATAAATAAACATTATCTTTTTGTATAAAATGTAGCTCCAGGTGGGAACAGATGGTCATAGGTTATAATTCATAGCCATATAACATAATCATACTGAACAGTCTCAACTTATTTAATCATAATTTTTTGTGTGAGATGGTCAATTGTTAGGTGTCGATTCATATTACTATATGAACAAAAATGTATATTTGTATGGTTATACTGTCAAATATTATATTTTTGTGTTTATTATTATTTTTAGACTATAATACATTTTAAATATATGAAAAAATTGTATACTTGTGCAGTTTTGTGTACTAGCTGATTTGATTACCCTTACACTATCACCATCATAAAACGCAACTTGCTTCATCTTTTTAGAAAAAGTGAAAAACTACATAAAGAGCAACTTGCTCAACTAAAAAAACATGTATAAAATATACGCACAAGAACCGCAAGATCATCAAAAAATCTATAAAATAAACACACATGCACCATTCTACACCCTCCTCCCTCAATAATCAACCAAAAAAACAAAATTAAGAAAAAATCATGTGGGCAATCCTCTTCTTCCTCCTCCCCTTCCTCCTCATCCTCTACCTCCAAACCCAACCACCCAAATCGGGCCGGGCCCCCCGCCCTCCCGGCCCGGCGCATCTCCCCCTCATCGGCAACCTCCACCAATTCGACGGCCGCTACCCCCACACCTATCTCCACCGCCTCTCCCTCCGATACGGTCCCCTCGTCTCTCTCCGCCTCGGCTTCCGAAATGTCCTCGTCATCTCCTCCGCCAAAATCGTCCACCAAATCCAAAAATCCCACGACGCCACCTTCTCGGGCCGCCCGGCCCTCGTAAGCCTCCAAAAACTCTCCTACAACGGCATCGACGTTGCCTTCTCCACCCACAATGACCTTTGGCGCGAGATGCGTAAGGTCTCGACTCTCCATCTCTTTAGCCCAAAACAGGCCCAATCCTTCCGGCCCGTTCGGGAGGATGAGGTCTCCCGAATGGTCCGGAGGATAGCCTCGGATGCCGCGGCCTCCCGAGCCACGAACCTAAGCGAGATGATGATGATGCTGACGAGCAACATGATATGCCGAGTGGCGCTCGGGAGGGGGATAGGGTACGAGGAGGGGGTAGAGTACAAGCGATTTTTCGAGCTCTTTAACGACGTGCAGGGAGTTCTGACGGGGCTTTTCTTGGAGGATTATTTCCCGGGCCTCGGGTGGGTGGATCGGTTAACCGGGATGAGGGGGAGGTTGGAGAAGATCTTTGGGGAGTTGGATAAGTTTTATGAGGAGATGATTGAGGAGCACTTGGATTATGAGAGTAGGCCAAAGAGCATGGATGGGGATATTTTGGACCTTTTGCTTGGGGTTAAGAGGGATGGCTTGTCTAGTGTTGACCTCACCATGGATCATGTCAAAGCACTTCTAATGGTAACAATCTTTTCTTTTTTCTTCTTCAACCCTAAATTTCTACTTTTTCCACAATAATCAATGAATTGAACTCATTTTCTTCCTCTGCAGAACATCATAGTAGGAGGCACAGATGCAATTGCAGCTGTTGTAGTATGGGCCATGACAGTCCTCTTGAAAAACCCAACCATGATGAGAAAAGCCCAATCCGAACTCCGACAGCTCGGTCGAAAGGAACTAATCTCCGAAACCGAAATCCCCAATCTACCCTACCTACGCGCACTCGTCCAAGAAACTTTCCGACTCTACCCGCCGGCCCCACTCCTCGTCCCGCGAGAGACACTCGCAGAGTGCACGATCGACGGGTACAAAATCGAGCCCGGGACCACGGTCCATATCAACGCTTGGGCCATGGGGAGGGACCCAGAGTTTTGGGAGAAGCCCAACGAGTTTCGGGCCGAGAGATTCCTTGAGAGGGAAATCGACATCAAGGCCCGTGATCCAATGTTGATCCCATTTGGAATGGGCCGAAGGGGTTGCCCTGGGATGGTGATGGGGCTAGTGGCCACCGAGCTTGCCCTAGCCAACTTGTTGTATGCTTTTGATTGGGAATTGCCGCGCGGGATGAAAGAGGATGATGTGGATTTCGATGTCTTGCCGGGGATGACGATGCATAAGAAGAGCGCGCTTTGCGCGGTGGCCAAAGCCTATATTGTGCATGATTAGTGGGTTTTTTAAGGTTATTGTATTGGATTTCAGTGAATAAATAAATAGGGAGAGAACCAATGTCTGCAAGATATATATACTCTTATTCTTTTCCCCAAATGACCACAAATTGAAGGGGAAAAAAAAAAATGTTTTCATTATCCTTTTCTTGGTGTTTCTGCTTAACCACATCGATTAAGCACGACACCAAATAGAACACTTGAAACCGTAGCAAGCAGATTTAACAAACCAAAATGCAGAAACTCAGCATAATCATCGAGCAATGGAACTGGTAATCGACAACAATGAGTGGTAAACAGTATCTGGGGAAAGGCCTTTGAAGTTTGAACGCAAATTACAAAGCTCGCATGAATTTAGCATGAGGCATTCTCTTTACCAGACCTGATACGAATAAATACAATTCACTGGAAATTCCCAATTTGATGAAGGTCGAACAGCAGTGTAATTTTAACTGTGTCAACATCTGATAGAAAACTTTCTTATGTAATTAGTAATATCAAGCATCAAATGCAGCTCTTAATCTACACTGCTAAGAAACAAGAGTGGAGTTGTCATTCATAAATCCATATATACAATATAATATTCCACGATACCTTTACCAGGAATGAAATCTGCTTTCTCCATTGGGGCAAAAACTACAAGAATGTCAACAAACTATTTGACGAGCTGACATCTTCTACTCATGAACTGTGCAGATAACTGAATGAAACTGTCCGAATAAAACCAAAATTTGCCTTCTGCGTGTTGGTGAATGGAATCAAAAATATTTTGTCCATCAAAGAACTGACACTTCAGTGACTACTGGGAAGCACATGATAGACAAGTACTATCCACAGGCTCAAACTTTTTCTTTTTACCATTTCTACTGTGTCAATTATGCTTTTTCCCCAAAGTTTGGAGAAAAAATTCCAAAATTCCCAGCTAACATACTGCTTAGAAACTCACATATCACAGGCAGAGAGCAGTCACCCTCAACTATTGAATAAGTTTCGAAATTTACAGTTCGGTCCATAACATCTTTATAAGGCTAGAGATAATTGCCCTTCTGGTTCTTCAAGGAGTTTCAAGACTGCACGGTAGAAGAAACACGCCAATACAGACAATACAACAAAAAACACTAATAAGATTTTTTGCTAAAGTTGTTCTAGCTGTCCAAGGAAGCAAACCCACCATATATTTATCTCTGGAAGTGCTGTTAAATGTTTAAGGTGAAATGTCACTTGATTAGTCAAGCGTGATCCAGAAAAGACTCCTCGACAGCAAGACAGCATCAGAAGCTCTATACCAAACTAATACAGCCCAGTTTTTGTTGGTATACATAAAAGCATATGACTTTCTCTTTCCATACAATCAATAACACATTAACTTATCTACAAGTACTACTACCAGAAGTCCTTACCAACAGAAATGTAAATATGATCATAGGTTGCTATTCATTTGTCGCATATACAACATGATAGAAAAATAAATATAAAATTAAGAAAGATTTATTTATCTCAACAAAGAACAAACACCATAGTCAAGATGTTGTGTATTTAAATTTCTCCATCAACGTATCTATTCACATAGAAGGCCTTCTAATGCCAGAAGAAGAACGATACAGATATAGACCAAAACAACAAGAGAAACTAGATCCTCCAGTGCTTCAAAATCATTCCATATCAATATCTAAGGTTTTGCATAATAGACTAACAGAAAGGACATAAGCAAGACACATAATAGAGAGTGAAAAGACCCAAAATACAAGTGAAAAGAAAGGAGAAACATTTTAAGACCTCGTGATCATGCTACAAGAACGAGCCAACCGAAAAGTCAAGCTGCCTCCGTCCAGTGTTTGCTCGCCCTCGACAGGTCCGCACTCATACTTCTTCCTGCAGCCCGGGCAACGTCCGTCTTCTTCAAGAATTCTCTTGTGACAGAAAAGGCAGAGCCTGAAGCCGCAGGGACAAGGAAGAAAACTCGAATCTGTACAGTCGAAATCCTCAAAGCATATCGGGCATGAAGTGGGAACCGGCCCAATGTTCTTACATCCCCAAACCGAACCCCGACCTAAGTGCCGCTCTGAGTTCAGGGGAAAGCTATATTGCTTCGAAAGATTTGGCAAATTCTGAGGACGGCAAGCATCATCAGGTCGCCAAGCACAGCAATTGACCATAGCTCCCTTCTTCCCTGCACTCTCTGGAATCTCCGAAGCAGTTTCATGCTTATTGGGTATCGACGAACCAAACCCAGTTTTCGGACTGCAATCTTGATTCTTGTCATCTTTTGCCTCCAAAGCATCAGCCACAGCCTCCCAATCATCAAGGCAATCATCTCCTTCACCGCCAGCATTCCCACCATCTTCATCGTCACTATAGCTTCGGCCATTGCTGCTGCTGCTGCTACTTCGGCCACTGCTGCTACTGCTTCTGCTACTGGCGGTGAAATTGACCCCAGAATCAGTACTTCCCAACAAGCTACTGGTGTGGCTGGTTGGGCTGTTAGAGGGCAGGGACTCAGTGTCACTGTAGTGATGCATTGAAGGCTCATAAATTTCCTCATTTCGAGTCTTTATCTCGAGCTTCTCCACTGGTCCACCCCTCTTGTTCGGCATATGCACTGATGGCCCTTCGTGTGAAGCTCCTCCACCATTGGTGCTCTCCTTGCACCCACCCTTTTTTTTCACTGGAAGTGTATACAGGTAAAACAAACTTTATCAGAAAGTACATATTATGGAAATATGAGCTGAGATCAATTTATTGCTCAGAACACAATCGAAAGTTGAAAACATTGAAGAATATAAACCATAAGAGTAATTATGTAACTATGTACTGGTGTATATGGGAGACAGAATGCAACATATTTGACAAACCTTGAGAAAGCCACTGCTCACGGCGGACATCAAGCTTGCTCTGCTTCAGTTTTGCAGAACGGTTTCCCTAAATTGAAAATTTATCAAAGAAATCAGGAACAACATAATAAATTTTCCATAAACCTCCGAACCAATAGCTGAAAGTAAGATGTTCAATAATTTAAGAAAAAAAAAAATTACAACTTTACCGGATAATTATAGTGAAAAACAAGAGAAAACAACAAAATTGCGAAAGAAGAACTTGAACAGACAAACGGAACCAATCGACAAATCGAACCCCAATCCAATCAGAATTTTCCCCCAAAATGCATAAAATGAAATAATAAGTTCAACCGCATAAAATCGAAGAAACACACAATCAATCATGGAGAACAAGCAGGACGAATGCGCGTCAAAGGGTTTCTCACTAAAAACAAAATCTTTCAATTGAAGAAAACAAATTACCCTCTTTTTCTTCGAGAAGTCCTTGGGGTTCGATGAGCCCACGGCGATGGAGACGTTGAGGATCGAATCAGACATCGTGGCTGAGTCAACTCGTTCGCGAGCCGGAAAAGCCTAATCGGAGATAACTAGAGATAGAGATAGAGAGAGGATGTTGGATATAGAGAGAGAATGAGATTGAGAATGTGGATAACGGAAACCGCTCTGCTTCGCTCCAACCCTTTCGTTTTTTCGACTCTTCAAAACAACAAAGCGTGAGCTGCACAACTGTGATGGTCTGTATATATGTAAAAATTTTGGATGACGATTGTGCCCTCCATATCCTACGGTATTTTCGGTTTGCGCACCTGAGGTAGTGAGGTGGACCTGAGAAAATTAAAAATTTTAGTGGATATTTTTTGGGGGCCTTTTTGCTGGTTGTCACCCTCTTCATGCTATTAAAAACATGGTTATTTTTTTTAATCTAAAAAAATATGTATTTGGCGATATTTTCAGTATATTATATTATAATGTTGCAGTATTTCCATCTCGTATTATAATCGAGATGAATATATCATATGGGAATTATTGTATTCATTTATTTAATGTATTGATTAATAAATGAATAAAAGGCTCGTGCTCGGGTTGGGTAAGCTCATGAAAGTTCAATTCAATTCGGTTCGAATAGTTTAATGAATCTAAAACTCTAAACAAATTATTGTTGAGAAAATTACCTGCCTCACGAGCGACTTAAAGTTTATTGCCCCAAAGACGAGATCAATTTTCTTATTCCAATTATCAGATCTTGATTCCATATTTAAAACCTAATTAATTATGAATGATAAAACACCAAATACCGAATGCTTTTAATTCATCAAAAGGGAGAAAATCGCGATGGCTATCCACGCCCTCCACACGCCACCGTTGTCGATGTCGTTCCCCGGATTCTCTCTGGTGTCGTTGCAGCCGTCCTCCTCCTCTCTGCCACCGCCGCAGCTCCAGATTTCTGCAACAGCCTTCGTCTTGTAGAAATATGGAGCCTTCGTGAAAAGATTTCTTCAACAACATCGATTTCACCAGATTTCTCCAGATCTCGGCCGAATTGGTGTTGTTTTGATCGAATACTTTCATCATCGGATTTGTTATGATGCCACTGAAGATAACGTTGGAGATGTTGTTTTACTTCATTAGATTCGTGTCCGTTTCGTCAAAAATTGGCCTCGCAATTCTCTAGTGGCCTTCTCATGCCAGTAACCTTGCCCCGGGTAAGTAGGTTACAGGACAAAATATTTAAAATAGAACAGCAATTGCTCTTTGATTTTCTCGATATCACACATGCAAGATGTTTGATGAAATGCGTGTGTGTATTTTTTCAGTTTTGTTTTCCTTTTGCATATGAAACAATAGTTTTCCTATCCAATTCATTTATATTTGAAGTTTTTTTTTTTTTTTTTTGCCATGTTGATTATTGTTGTATGCGTACCCGTTCATGTATGTTTGAAGTTTATTTAGTATAAAAAAGATATGTCTTTTGTTAATATGCATATTGTATTAGGTAATTTGTTTGTTTATTTTTCTTACAAATATGGTATAAAATAAACTTGTTATATGTGTCAGTGTAGTGTACCAATTGGCTCGGACTGCAAGTTAAATTTTGTATGATAAGGATTTCTTGGTGTTGCATGTGTCTAGAACAGTAAATGAATTTTGGAAACATATGGCCTTATTTGTTTAATAATGGCAGTGATAGTAATGTTTTTATCGCTGCTTTTGCGGAGTATTTCATTTCAGAAGAGCCCATTGAGGTTGATACCTTTGACATTGAGAGTGAGCGGCTAAGGTATTCATACTTGTTGTTCAAACATGGAAGAATGACACAGCAAAACTGTCTGAGAATGACGATGAATCTCTGGATCCATTGCTTTCAAATTATCGGAATTTGTTGTTAGTTCCTTCCATTTAAGTAGCATATGGATTTCTGCATTAGGTTTAATTATTTGTGTTGGCATGAATTTTCAAACTTTTCAAACTGTTTTTCTTAGTGCTATTTGGTGTAATTTATGGGACAATGTAGACAAACTAAACGGTGGTTCTTTATTTGGATAACATGTGGATGGAAAACTTTGAGTATTTATGATGTTTATCTATCGTACCAGGTTTCTTTTTCGTTATTTTTTGCATGGTATATTTTTTGTATTTGTTTTTTGGGCAGTATCTCAATTTTTTTTTTCTCTTTTGGATGCGTGGTGATATGAAGTTTTAGATTTGTTAAATGACTGGGGTTACTCTTGGTACTATTTGGTTTATTTTGTGTAACATCGGTGACAATCAATTCGGTTGTTTATTGATTTATTTATAGAATATTTGTAGTATTTTTTTTTTTTTTGTAAAAGAATATTTGTNAGAATATTTGTAGTATTTTTAATGTTTACACATGACTATCAAGTTCTCTTTTTGCCATATTTTTTATGGTATAATTTCTGGAATTTTGTTGGTTATATATGCATAAGATATTTTTTCATGTCTAATTATTTTATTAGATATTAGGTATTCTTTGTGTAGTTTACATTTCTGACTATTTTCGTATACTTTCAGTTATTGTTAGGTTTATTTTATGACTTATTAATTTTTTTTTCAACAAACTTTATACATTAAAAAAAATCTTAAAAACACAATACTTAATAATGAGATATACTTTTTTAACTAGTAGCTTTTTTTACCAAGAAATAATTACAATTGACCAACTATATAACCGCATTTGTAGATAAATATAATCATGAGTTGTTAATGGCAAATATATTAAAAAATAACTTATAAAAGAAAGCATAAATTACTTTAAAAGATTTGAAACATTAAGTGACAATCAAAATACCAAATTTGAAAATACTTGCCAAACAATAACCTCAATTGAGCATTGATTACAAGAAACCATAACGGATCGCAGCTGTAGTTTTGTTTCCATTTTTATGCACTTCTCGTCATTTTGTAGAAGAAGTTTTATGAAGAGTACAATTATGTGATAAAACTTTGTGTCTCGTATTTAAGGTATTGATGTAAGTTAGGAACGTTTCACTGTCTTTTAGCCATTATTGTTCATGTACATGAACTGTATGTATATCGTTAAAGTTTGGCTCAATTATTTCATTTCAATATCGTAAAAAAATAATAATAAAAAGTTATTTACGACAAGCTCAATTTAACTTGATTAATAAATGTATTCAATTAGTTATTTGAGCTCGACTCTTTTTAGTAATAAATGAATAACTATTTATCGAAAATAGTAAGCAAAAATTTCGGGCAAAATTAGTTAATGCATACTAATTTTGGATTTTTTTTCTAATTTTGTATTTTTTTTCTAACAAAAAAAATCGGGCAACATTTAATGCTCCCATCAAAACTGTGTATAGTACAATTCAAATTCAATAATTGCGATTGTGAATATTTTTTAAAATTTAGGACCGATTTTTTCAATCATTTTAGAAGAATTTGCCAACCATTTCTTAAATTACGGATTTTGTTCAACTTAAAATTTTAAAGCATCGATTTCAAAATCTGGTGTATATCAAATTGTATGCATTTCAAAATTCAAAAACACTCATGCACACATTTTTTTAGATATAAATATGTTTTTGAAATTTTGTATCGATTTTTCCCATCATTTTCGAGGGATTTTCTAACCATTCCTTAAATTAAGGATTTTGTTCACTTAAACTTTCAAATATCAACGTCAACATATGGTGTATATCAAATCAAATTGTATGTATTTCAAAATATAAAAACACCAATGCACACGTGTTTTAGATATAAACTCCATACAATGAAGGATTTTGTTTAATTTGACATGTATTTTATAAATCACACCATTTTAAAATTTTATTTTGTTTTTTCGTGATTTCGAATTTGAAATCCTCTACTGGAGTAATTTATAATTACTAATATTTCATATACTTTTAAACATGTTTTTCCGATAATTTTTTTACACATTCTATATAAAATATATATATACGTGTGTGTGTGTGTGTATGTTAAATTTAAATGTCCTTAGACATGCATGTTTTGATTACAAAATAGTTTAGAAAAATTTTAGATGAATTCAAATTTTTTAAGAATAATATATAATATTTTACGTAATCTTATATATGCTATATAATATTTTAGGTATTTTTAATATTTTAAACATACATATTTTATGTTATCTTAGACAAGATAATTTTATATTGTAAATTATATCACATATTAACCCCGCTTTTTTAATTTAAAATTATTATTCAATATTATTTACTCACTCATTAATTTATGATTATTATTTAATATAGTTTACTCGTGCATCGCACAGGCTACGCACTAGTATATATATATGGGAATAGAGTGAACGAATTTTAGAGATTATTCTAATTTATAGATAAGGATGTTAATAAACCCAACGTTCGTGAACAAAAGTTTGTTCGTGTTTGACAAAAGATCATTCGTTTGTTAATCGAGCCGAGTTGGAACAAAATATTAGGCTAGTTTAATAATCGAATGAATACGAACTCATTCATGAACGTTCGATAATGTTCGCGTACATTAATTTAATATAAATTTACTTTGATTTTTATATATAGTTTTAATAAAAAATCTAAAATATAAGAAAAAAAATATTTTATTTTTTTATTTTCGAATTTGAACAAACAAAATATGAGTTAATCAAATGTATTTAAAAAGTTAGTGTCCTAAATTATTTCGAACTCGAACTTTGACGAACAATTAAACGAACGAGCTCGGACATGATTTTTCGCTCGAAATATAAAAGAACGAACACGAACACTATTAGGACGTAAACGAACACGAGCTTGAAATGCCCAAACTCGGCTCGTTCGGCTCGATTACAGCACTATCTATAGATATCCAAAATTGAATATGATGCATCTTTGGAGACTGCATAATTTCAAATCATCATTATGAATCTATATATGTACTTAGTATTGAGATGACTTATAATAGATGATCTCTAGGACTGTACCAATACGAATACAACATTCTTAAATGGACAAGGCTGTTTCCAGAAATTTGGAGACCCCAGACAATTTATTGAAGAGTGGCCTGTTATCGTATTTTCATGTTTTCATTTTTTTTAATTGAACAAATAATAATAAACATTGCCGATAATAAATACGAAAAATACAATGAATATGAGAAAGATAAGTAACTTAAAATACAAAAACTTACAACCTTCTCGTCTTCTTTTGGGTTGTACAAAATTATTAATCAAGTTTCATAACCAAATTTTCTTTCAATGGATAACATCGCCAAACCATTCAATCTATCCTGAGACATACTTGACCAAAGATAATTTTTTATCAATTAAATGTGAGATTTGGGGTTTGAATCGTTTGATTTTGTGAAGTGAAACTCGGCTCGGGAAGAAGAAAGAAAGTAAATTTTAAATTTATGTAAATGGATTTATGTGAACGGATTGGGCCAAGCCGAACACAGATATATAAATATATAATACATAAATATATATCTATATATGAGGCTTAAAGTGTTGAGGCCCTATGCAGGTGCCTTAATTTTTTGCCCTAAAGCCGGCTCTGTAAATGGAGAACTGTTGATGAAAACTTTATAGATCAACCAAAAGAGTTCCATGCATGAAAAAACCAAAAATAAAAGGACAAAATTGCTTTTGTATATATGCTGAAAGAACCATACCAAACAGTGGTACAAATGATATCATCGAGCTACCACATCGATTGGCTTCATGATGGTTGAAAAAGATAACTAAGTGTAAGTCAAGAGAAGTGAGAAAAAATTATTATGCTCTCAATGAATTGGCCTTAAATGAATTTAATAAGAATAAGCAACCATCCATATAATATATTGGAAATCAGTTTATATACTTCTTAGTGAGTAGTGACCAATATCTTGCCGAATGCCAGTGAAAAGGTAGTCAGATAAGATATTTTAGAAGTTGCAATTTGCAGCAAGAAGTATGTGAACATGAGAAAGGAAGAAAAAAAGAAAAAAGAGTGAACAACATATTAATGTTAAACATAAATTTAAAAGTTCACCTTTTCCTTTATCAAGGCATCATATATAAGATCAGATCTTCCAATAAGAAAAAGGAAGTCCAATATTGGCGTTTGAAGCTTCTCCCATGAACCTGATACCCAGCGGGCCTCCTTAATGGGCCGTAGGGGACTGTTATTCTTCTCTAAGTCCATTATGAGACGGATCCATATAAATTTTGCGTGCAAAGAGCATTTCGAATTTCCCATTTATGAAAACCTCAAAAAACTGAAAAAAAAAAAAATATATATGCATTTGAAAAGTATGGTGACACGTTAATATCGACTATATCATGCTATTAACTAAAAGCAACAACTCAAAGCATACACATACTAGTGTAGGGATAGGAAAAAATGGGGTTTTGTTCAAAGTTTTTCATGCAAATGGTGCAAGCAATTGTTAAATTGCGACTATGATAAGTGACAATTCAACTTCCAGTGGACCTGTGTATTGGAAGGATTATTATGTCATTCTGCCACACAATCTACCATATATAATTAATTGTCGGCACTTAGCCAAGTGTAAATAAAAAACTCTAGCTAAAACAAATTTGCTCAAGGGGTAGTAACGTGACAAGGAGGAAAAGTAGCAGGGTAATAACGTAACAAGCAAAAAATTTACCATCATATCATTGCAGTCACAAGACTCACAACTTCTTGCAATGATAGTAATAATAGCTGTAGCCTAGTCTCTAACTAGTAGTCAATTGTATTCTATCTACGGTCTACCTCGCATTTGAATTGTTTTTTTTCGTAGTTGGTAGTTCTAGTTGATTGCAACTTAAGCATTTAAAATTCTGCAAATAAGTAATTATTTAAAGAAAAGACCTTTAAGAGGATATCTATACTTATATAAAAAGAATTACTATTTACTAAATTTAGCAAGCAAAACAAATTTCAAAATTTCTAAATAAGGAAGGGATAGAAGTTTAAATAAAATATGGTTGCTTTAACAAACTTACTAGTGAGCAACCCATGCGATGCACGGTGAGGCTTGTTCCTCAAAACCTATTTAAAACTTTATTTCTAAATATAATTACTAAAGTTTAAACATTTTATTTTGGCAAAAAATTAGATACAGAGTATGAAAAATCATATATTGTTGAACAGTTCCCTATACACAATATTTTTTATTTGAATATGTGGCAAACTTTCTTGTCAACAAATTAAAATTTTCAAACAATTGTGTGAAAAAAATTTAATTATAATATATTATTTATAGTGTAATAAATCGTAATATATTATTTTTAGTGTGATAAAATGTGTTGGGATAACTATGACCATTTGAAAAAATATTTAATAGTATTCTTAAAACTTTAATAAATGTAAAAAGATAAATATGACCATTTGAAGAAATATTTATTTGTAATCTTAAAATTTTAAATTTTGATAAATGATTGTATATATGCGCCAAGTTTTTAGGAACCAATCGATCATATAATATAAAATTCTTATATGATTTCCAGAGTCTTACGAATGTGACATGAACTTCATTTTTTAATTTCAAATTTAAACAAATCAAAAGACAAATTATTAGGTAGTTATGAAAAAAAGTATCCAACAAACTATTTTTTAATTTCAAATTTAACAAATCAGAAGACAATTATTAGGTAGTTATGAAAATAATCTCCAACAAACTTCAAATTAAACGACACACAACCATCAGATTTGGAGTTGGTTGCAGTCGGTGATCACCACCCGTCTCGAGGTCCGGTGGCTCCCCGACCCGACATTCTCCACCGCCTTCAATATGTCGTACTCCTCCACCACCTGACCGAACACCACGTGCTTGTTGTCAAGCCACTTCGTCCTTGTCGTGCAGATGAAAAAGTACGTGTCATTTGTCCCCGGAATAGCCTTCGCCATTGACAGGTCCCGATGTGCTTTCTCATGATGTTCTCGTCGGTAAACTTGGCGTTGTAGATCGACTTGCCATCGTTACCCGCAGTGAAGTCACTGCTCTGACAAATGAAATTGGGGATTATACGATGGAAGGATGACCCTTTGTGGTGGAGGGGCTTGCCAGATTTGCCGACGTCCTTCTTGTTGGTGCATAGGGCGCAAAAGTTCTCGTCGATCTTCGTGACGACGTCGGCGAAGAGCTCCATCACGATTCAACGGCGGGGCTGCTGATGGTTATGTCGAAGTAAACCCTAAGATTCGATAGGTTGATTTGAATTTTTTATTTAGGAGTTTTTTGTGATTTTTTTTTATTTGTGACTAACTGATTTTTTTTTTTTGGTCTCAAACTTAGGGTTTTGTAATTGGATGGGGAGGGGTTTATATAAGGGATCGATTGAAGTTTATCAATATTTAGTATAATATCCCTTATTCTCGGAACAATTTGTTGTTTGATTTGCAACATTAATTTGAATGGAAAAAAAAATACATAATTGTTGGGATATCTCAATTCAAAATTTCAATTTTTGCCGTAAAAATCTCCAAATTTGTTACCTATAAAAGTGAGATCTGTATTTATGAAATGAATTAAATTTTGGCATAAAAATCTCCAAATTTGTTACCTTAAGAATCTCAAATTTTTTTGGGATATCTCACTTAAATTTATTTCCTATAGAAAATAAGTTGTTTAATCAAATAAGTCAAATATTATTTCAATTAAAGAATATAAACCACCAAAAAATAGAAAAGAAGTTAGGGTTTAGGTCCTAAAATAATGTAATTTAGTATTATTTAGGAAAAAAAATCAATATATTTACACACAAAATTTATAAATATAAATAATTTATAGAGGTTTGGAGTTTATCAATATTTAATACAACATCCATTATTCTTGGAACAACTTTTTGTTTGATTTGATACATTAATTTGAATAGAAAAAAATTTCGTAATTGTTGTGATATCTCAATTCAAAATTTTAATTTTTTGGCATAAGAATCTCCAAATTTGTTACCAATAAAAATGAGATTCGTATTTATGAAATGAATTAAATTTTGGCATAAAAATCTCTAAATTTGTTACCTTAATGATCTCCAAATTTGTTACCTTAAGAATCTCCACATTTTTTGGGATATCTCCCTTAAATTTGATTTCTAAAGATTCACATGTGTTTTTTTCAAAATTTCTACTAATAGTAAGTCAACACTTTATTTTTAAAGTCAAAGTTACTATTTTTGTATTTTTCCAACAACCTCTTTATATTACTATAGATATA